AAATAGGCCATGCCAGTTCTAGGCTCAGGACAAGGAGGATGAACAGGGTACAAATATAGGAATTGGGGGGGGGGGGTTTAGTGGCGGCGCAAGCAGGTGTAAGCAACGACAAGCAATGGAAAACGGCACAGCCCTGAAGTTAGTTGAAAGGTGCTAACAACTCATCTGTGCCAGCAGACCATTTAAGAAGTTGGCCATTGAGAGAAAGGAGGAACCACGCAGATAAAGTGGGACAGGAAGCTAATGAAATAAAAAAGCTGGGGAGGGGGGGTTGAAGGTTCTGACCCAGAAAAGCCTGCGTTTGAGGGGATCCTCCAGGAGGAAAAGAGCAGGTGCTGATCGTCAGCCGAGAGCAGAGTGGCACAAGAAGGATTACAACATCCCCAAGCGGCACCGAGTCTTCGTACATAGACCAGAGCTGGGAACTGCCGAATTTCGGCGAGGGATCATAGTCCTTTCTTGGACTCCGACCGCCTCAATTAACTCAACACTTCCCCCACTTCCTCTGAGAACGTGAGAAGTACGTGCGACCGGTCGCACCTGCCAAAGTTCTGCAAAGACGCAGCGCCAAACGAGGCCGCCGGAGTTACTCCTTAGAGGGTTTGGTTTTTTTGGGGTGGGGGGGCGATGGAAGCGATCTTCCCAGGCATCGGATTTTGAAACGCTCTGTGGATCCGGACCCCGCAAGGACCGAAGAGCTAACAGCGCGGGGTGGGATGGCGCGCCGCGGTCTGCGTGCGCGCGGAGAAAACCGGGCACCGACAACTAGTCCACCCACTCCCAGTTGCCGCAACACCGGACCCCATCCTGACCGTTCCCTGAAAGAAAAGCTTCCAACTCCGGTCCAAAACTGGCGCGGAAACACGGGGCTCAGGCAGATGGGAGGCCAAACTTTTTTCCCCCCTTCCCTTCCCTAGAATTCCCGCCGGACGAGACGAGCCGCGCCGCCTTCCCGGGGGCCGCGCGTTTTGCATGCGGCAGCAGGGAGCGAGCGACTCCTGCGGCTGCTAAAGTTGCTTTGGAGCCGATGGTGTGCCTGGGGGTGCGCGTGCTGCTCCGGGCTCGCTCCCCCAAGACGCCCGGTTCTTTTAAGCATCCCCAACTCCGACGCAGTTACTTCTCTCTCCCTCTTACCTTTGGAGTATCTCCAGAAAGGTCCTTTGTGCCTCCTAGTCCCACATTGTTACCCGAAGAAGCGTCTGTAACAACTGGGAGTGACATCAGCCTGGAACAATGAAATCAAGCGCTTGACAGGCGAGGGAGGCGCAGGCCAAAGCCTCGGGACTATTTTGCCTCCCCTCCGCCCCCAGCGATCTCGCCCAGCCTCCCTCCGTCCCTCCCTTGCTCGCTGGCTCCCTCCAGGATCCAATTACAGTGGATAAAGGAGATACTAAAGAACAATGCACACTGGGTAAGACCATCTGCCAAGGACAGAGACATTATACACCCCCCCTTCTCTCTCCCCCCCCCCCCGCTTGCAATGCAGATTGCCCTTCCTCTGTTGTAGTTTGAATTCTTTTCCTGGAAACTGGTGAGCGAGCGGGCATCTCTTGCCTGCTTTGCAGCCAGCGGGAGCAGGAGGTTCCCCGGAAGGCTGGCCCTCCTCGCGCCTACAATACTTGGTCTTCGCACTTTCGCTGGTTTTCCCCTCAATTTGTTTATACGAAACCAGATGGGTTTGGTTGCTTGCTGTCTGTCAAAACAGAACGCGTGTCATTCTGCAATAAAGAGTTGGAGGGAGAGGAGTTGAAGCTAGTTCCCTGGTGGTAGCAGAATCGCTGTGCGGTGACCGCGTCTTTGTGGTGATTTGTGCATACCGTGCAATTATACCCGCAGGAAAAGTGAGTCAGATTATCCTAAAGCAAAATAGGCTGAATCCTTTAAATGTGTGAGTTCTGGATTTATTATGATGTCCTTAGGATTTAATGCATTTTTCTACCATTAAATGCATTATATGCATTTTTTAACCAGATCAAGAACTCTCTCCACTTAATATATCTCTGGGTTGTGTCTCCTGATTTCCACCACATTGCTAAACTGGTACTCCTCCCACCTCCACAATGTGGTTGGATTTATGAAGTCCCAGACATATTTGTGGGGAATTATTGTGATTAAATCCAAAACTAGATGGGTGGATAAGGCATTAAGTTGGGGAGAGGTTGCTGAATTAAGTCCTGTATACCTTTCAAGGAGCCAGAACTTTATTCATTTTACATTTGGAGAGAGGCAGACTATAGCCATTTTATTGTAATATACTTATCCGTCTTTGTAGAATACATTCAGGAAGATGATAAAACTGTTCTTACACCCTCAGGACCATTGCAGTCTTACATCAGAGAAAGTATCAGCACCATTAGCACAAACTATGTCCTTTGAACACTGTGTTCCTGGCAGTCCAGAGGAAAGCTATAGGTTGCCTTTAAAAACTCTGTGCCCTTTCCATGTTTCTGGCTATTTTTAGGAGAGCTGAACAGAAGGATGGTTTTTTAAAAATATAATCAATAATAATAAAAACAAGAACAAATGTTTCGAACAGTTGCAGGAGTATTTTTGATGTTAGCATGGATTAGGAAAGCTTTCAAAAGTTTGTTTGTTTTTTTAAGATAAAGATAAAGATTACCCTTGCACATATATGCTTGTCATTCCCGACTCTAGGGGGCAGTGCTCATCTCTGTTTCAAAGCCAAAGAGCCAGCACTGTGCGAAGACGTCTCTGTGGTCATGTGGCCAGCATGAGTAAACGCCGAAGACGCACAGAAAGCTGTTACCTTCCCACCAAAGCGGTCCCTATTTTTCTACTTGCATTTTTATATGCTTTCGAACTGCTAGGTTGGCAGAAGCTGGGACAAGTAATGGGAGCTCACCCCGTTACACGGCACTAGGGATTTGAACAGCCAAACTGCCAACCTTTTGATCGACAAGCTCAGCATCTTAGTCGCTGAGCTGCCAGGTCCCTTTTTTTTTTGTCCAGTGCCAAAATGAACCAAAATGGATTTGCTTCTTTGGGTAGATTGTTCTACAGCTGGAGGCCACCACTGAATAGGCTCTTTCTCTTACTGCAGAGCCTCCTTCACTTGAAAAGCACGCGCTGTGTAAACCCTGTTCTTGAGCTGTGAGAAAGAGCCTTAATGGTTAACCCAGAAATACGCTAAGAGCCCACGAGGGTGACAAAGCAGGGTGCCTTTATCGCCCACTCAGAGTTAGAAGTCTTACAGCCATGCCCTGAACTGTTGCTGGACTGTTTCAATGACAACCCCTTATTCACTACACTGAATTCCTGTCTCAGTCCTCAAGTGCAAACTAAAATATAGGTTTGCATTGTCTTGTCTATTTGAGGATTACTTCCCCCCACCATCCCACCCCTGCCTTAAATTAAACAATAGCTCTGGACTGAAAAGAAAAAGCTTTCGTGCCTAATAAAAAGCAGAATTGGAGGAGGGGGAAGTGGTGCTAAATGGAAATATGAGATGTTGCATTGCAAGAACCCACCAGAGACCCACCTAGTGCTTTAGAGATGCCATATAAGCATTCTGACACATGATCACTCCTTACCTCTCCTGGCTGAAAAAAAAGTGGCCTGAATATAAATTCATCTAGCAGAATCTGCTTACAGCTGAAAGAAATATAAAGAAGAGGGTGTTGATGAAATATATAAAACATTTACAGTAAATGGGTCCTGAAAAAGGAAATCCATGTGTTGTCTATCATCCAGCTGTCGGTTATGCCACCTTTGCCCCCTTGTATGTGCAGCAGATCAAGCTGTTTCTCTCTCCAGCTGCCGGCAACTCCCGAGGGTCTCTCCCCTCCATCATTTGTTACCTGATCTGGGCATTAGGTTTTGAATATGGCACCCTCCACTGATACTGCATGAACTTTGCCATGGAGCTGTAGTCCTTTATGGTCTTTAAGTCACTTATTTACTACAGCAGTCATAAAAGAAAGATTCCTAGAATCAGAGTTAGGTAACGGAGACCCCCATCCATTCAAGGCAACAATCAGAATTAAAACTTCCCCAAAGTTTTGCCCAGCTTCTGATTCAAAATATGCAGTGAAAGGGAGCCCATCACCTCCAGTTGAAAAGGGTTCCTCTCTATAGCTTTGATCATAAGAGAAATAAATGTGTTATTTTCCCAAAGTATTAAAGTCAAGTCTCTCTCTCCCCCCACTTTTTTTTCTGCAGTGAAATTAAGCAAATTACTTGCTCTTATTTTAAGAAACTTCCCAATTTCTTTGTTTCTTTCATAGCATGTCAACCGTTTCCTTATTATCTTACAATGTTCTGATGACCAGACCCTGCTGCAGTCACAGAGTACCTTCTATGCCTAAATGTATACTGTAATTGTTCAGTCAGTGCAGTAGGTTCTGTAACATAGCCAGCTGTTTGCACCAGACTAGCAAAATGCAAGCGAAGGACTGACAATTTGCAAGGGAAGTAATGAAGGGAACTTGGATGCTTAGCATTGTCTCATAATGCAATTGCTGCTTAAATACGCCTATCTATTTTAGTAGGTATCACAGAAAGAAAGGCGAGTAGAGCAATCAGTTCACACACGCATGTTAATTATTTGTTGGCAACAGTATTACTACCAGCAGATGACTGCCAACAGATCTTTTAAACTGCCCACTGTTGCCATAAAGGCATGCTTTTTTGCAGTGTGGGGTGAAGGGAAAATGCAGGTAAAAACATTCAGCCGTATGAAATAGTAAGAGGTAAGAGACTGTTATATGCTGGTTTCTCTGGGAAGAGATAGATCCATTGTTATATCTGGATCTGTGAGGAAGAGGAGCTAATGCAGATGGTATAGATGTAAGTGCACTCTCAGCATAGGAAGACAGCATCACCCCTCTGGGGTATTTGCTCTTCTCTTTTGTGTATCAAAAGCATTACAAAAACAGCATTACTCTTCTTTTTTGTGTGCCATGGACAATGCCAAGTATACAGGACCAGGTTCTTGAAACAAGAAGTTGATTCTATGCTTTATTTATAAGGACTGCAAGCTTCTACATTCAAGTAAATATACGATCCATTTTTTTTCTATTAGGGGCCATTAAAATTCTCTTGCAAACAAGCCATATCTACATGAAGAAATTCATTTCTGCCTTCAGGGACACTATCACTATCACCATAATACAAGGGTTTTTTTTAGGTCTACTTCTATCCTGCTCCAGGTGGGGATTGGTTTTAAGGTGTTCTGAAAGATGTATACTGTGTTGAGGTCTACCTATATTTGTATATATGTGTTTACCTATATTACTATCTTTGAGTAACGTGTAATTTATATAGAATTCTAACTCATATGATAAGGTAAAGGTAAAAGGTAAAGGTTCCCCTCGCTCATATGTGCTAGTCGTTCCCGACTCTAGGGGCCGGTGCTCATTTCCATTTCAAAGCTGAAGAGCCAGTGCTGTCTAAAGACATCTCCGTGGTCATGTGGCCAGCATGACTAAATGCCAAAAGCGCATGGAGCACCTTCCCACCATTTTTCTACTTGCATTTTTTACATGCATTCGAACTGCTAAGTTGGCAGAAACTGGGACAAGTAACAGGAGCTCACTCCATTACGTGGCCCTAGGGATTCGAACCACCAAACTGCTGACCTTTCTGATCAACAAGCTCAGTGTCTTACCCATTGAGTCACCGTGTCCCTCATATGATTTGTTTTGGGTAAACCAGATATATAAAAACCCTACTTTCAGATATAGGAATCAAGCCCTTTAAAAAAAAAATGGGGTACTTTTTATATGTAGTAGGTATTTAATTATTTTAAGAATTATTATGTATAATATTGGGGCTTACATAATATTGTTAACCAGTCAGTTAAAAAAAATAGAGCACAGCAAATGAAACTTGATTACCACTAACCCAGGTTAGCATTTACTGGCTTAGAACATTTTGTGACCCACTGTATAAAGTATTATGAAAGTGTAAACTTACAAAATGGATTCAGCCAATAATCAAATTAAGGAAGTTGGGCGAACACAACTTTTATTTTTGTATATCGCCAGATGTCATATACTTCCATGGGGTTTTACATGACTTCTACCCCCCTGGAAACCATGTAAAAGTGGAGTGGGGTAGAAGTCATGTAAAACCCTTTAAATGAGGTTGTGACATAATACAAGATCTGTATCTCTTTTCTTTAGGAACTTAACTGAAGGTGGACTGTATGCACCATTCTGATAATGCTTCTAGATATCCCTTCCTGCAACTGCTGAAGATCAAGACCTTTTCGTTGATTGATTATAACCATCAAAATATTGTTGATTCCTAGCGACCACATACGTAGATTTTCTCAATGATGGTCTATGCCTAATTGGTCCTTCAGGTCTTCCAACAGTGCACTCATCACTGTTGTAATGAGTCCACCCAC